TCTCAAAAGGGGGGTGGGCTTCCGGAGGTCCATTCAACTGCACTGTTCAAAATTATTAAGCCCAGGAATGGGGTCTGCAGATGGGGGTCTTGTGTGAACCAATTTATTCTCACAGAGCATAATCATGGCAGCCCTCATGTAGAATCAAAAGGTTGGGAGGAGGCCCAGGAGATCATATCTGGCACATCCATATGTTGCTGCCACACACGAAGGGTGTGTATTGCTCTGGAATGATCGACAATGAGACAATGAGAATAACACACGTGTGCATAGACCATCCCTGGAGGGAATGGAAAAAAAAAAAACTCTGACAGAGGAGTTGAGAGGAAGTGGGATGAGTCCAGAAATCAATTGGCTTTTCACTCCTTAACCATCTAATACCACTGAAATTCTATTACGTGTGCCTGTAATGCCTATGCAGAAAAAATAGCTAGATTAAAACTTCAGAAACAGAAAGATTTTTAAGCAATAAGAGGCTGCGTACCACCCAGGCAAACAGCTCCCTTTTCCTCTGCCCCATGTGAAGATGTGCAGGTTCCAAGCCCCTTGCTCAGAACCAACTGGGGTATTATGTCCTGTGGGGAGCGGAGAGCCTCGCGGACCGAGTGTGACTAACACGGTTTCGCTCCACAGGATGGAAAATTTCTACGGCTGTCCGTATGACTTCATTGAAATCTTTGACGGCCCACAAAGCGAGTCTTTCTCCCTGGGGAGATTCTGCTCGGGGACAACCCCAATCTTCACCTCCTCCACAAACCACATGCTGGTGGTCTTCCACAGCGATGCCATCATCACCAACGTTGGCTTCCATGCCTCCTACGAGGCCCTCGTGCAAGACGAAAACGATACTGGTAGGTCCTTCGATCATTTCAGTCCTGGTTGGGGGATGATGGCTGATGGGAAGGCAGACTGGGTCAAGTGGACACAGGAGCTTGAAAGGGTCAAAGAGGTGTCCCACAGCCCCGATGTACTCCCAGGCTGTGACTCGAGAAACCGCTTAGATGTGCATCCCAACTGGGGCCTTGGGAATAGACCATGAATCCAACCTGAGAAAGAGCTTGAAAGCATGGAAGGAAGAATGTGCACTGATACGAAACACAAGAGCCGCAGTGGCCCCCTCTAACCCACATGCCCCCCCCAAGTGTGAGGGATGGAGCCCCAACCGTAGTCAACGCCGAGGAATCGCTCCCGAGTCCCTCTAGCGCCCAGGGCAGCCCCCCAGAACAGTGACCAGTGTGTCTGCATCCCCAGATGTGGCCCTCCGGCTGAGCAATGGCAGCCACCGCTGTGAGGGGCGCGTGGAGCTGTTCTACAACGACACCTGGGGGACCGTGTGTGACGACAGCTGGGACCTACGTGATGCCCACGTGGTGTGTCAGCAGCTGGGCTGTGGCAAGGCGGTGTCAGCCCTCGGGTGGGCATACTTCGGCCGTGGCCTGGGACCCATTGCCCTGGATGACGTTGAGTGTGTGGGGAATGAGGCCAAGCTATGGCAGTGTCTGCACAGTGGCTGGTTCTCCCACAACTGCGGCCACCATGAGGATGCTGGCATCGTCTGCTCAGGTGGCTCGGCCTCTGCAGGTCAGAATCACGCAGAGGCAGGGGTGGGGGAAAGAAGGCCCCAGCTCCATGAGTCCACCCCACTGAACCTCGTTGTTAGATAGTGTTGAGTTGCCTCCGATTCCTGGCGACCCTGCCCAGCCCTGAGTCAGCCTCCTGGTTATGGGTGAGCCCATGGTTGTAACCGTCCTGTCAATCCATCTTACTGAAGGCGCCCTCCTTCTCACTCGCCCTCGACACCACACCAAACCTCGAGCACTCGGGAAGTCACAGGACCAGATGGTGTCCTTCCTCCCAACTGGACCAGCAGATAGCATCTTGAGACATGGGGAAATGATCGAAGTTGTCAGGGATTGTGTCTTGCCAGGGTCCACAATGACTGCTGATGGAAACACCAGTCAAGAAGTCAAGTGATGCATTGGTAAATCTGCTGCACAAGACTTCTTTAAAGTGTTGAAAAGCAAGGAGTTCACTTTGAGGACTAAGGTGCGCCTGACCCAAGCACGTACGTTCAATTGCCTCACGTGCACGTGAGAGTTGGACCTTGAATAAAGAAGACCGAAAAAGGATCGATGCTTTTGAATGACGGTGAGGGCAAAGACTATTGACAGTACCTGGGCCGCCAAAGGAACAAACAAGTCTGTCTTGGAAGAAGTACACCAGAATGCTCCTTGGAGGAAAGAAGGCAAGATGTTGCCGCAGGTGCATTGGGCATGTTGTCAGGAGAAGCCAATCGTGCTTGGTAAAGTAGAGGGGCGGTGGAAAAGATAAATCTCTCCACCAATGGATGGACACAGCGGCTGCAACAATGGGCTCAAACACAACCACAATTGTGCAGCAGGCACAAGGCCAGTGGTGTTGCATTCGGTCACACAGTTGCCAGGAGTCAGAGCTGACTTGATTGCATCTGACAACAGAAAGTGTCCTACAGTCTGTCCAGGGTCTACCTGCAGAATCCCTGCCATGTCCCCACGCTGCCCCACTATCATTTTCTTGTAAAACACTGTTAGCCTCAAGTGCATTACCCTATTGAGTAATAGGACAGAGTCAAACTGCCCCATAGCATTTCCAAGGCCATAATCCTTGGGAAAGCGGATTGCCACATGCTTCTCCCATGGAGCTGCTGGTGTGTCCAAACCACTGACCTCTTGGTTGGCAGCTGCGCTGTAACCACTGCCTCTTCCTCACAGTGGGATCTGGTTTTATTTTACACTGCCACTTTACAAAGCTCCATTTCCCAAGGACACTTTATGTCACCACCATAAATGAAAACCAGAGGCACTTTCCAGCAACAGACACTACATAGAAATAAATACAGTAGCAATAATACTGATAATGTGCTCAGCACTCAAAGAAACAATAAACGATCTAATCCACTCATGCCTGTGCCTATCTAAAACCACCCGAATTAGAAAGGAAACTAAATATAAGTCTTGATATTCTACTGTAATAAAGGAATAACTTAAAAGTAGAAGGTGCACCGCCCTAATCACCCAGTCAGGAAGAATTATGCACTCAGACTGACAGTCAGGATAGGAGCCACAAATGACCATCACACTGTGGCCCAGTCAGCAAAACACAACAGGAACAACAAAAATTACAAAAGACACTCAGGGTCTGACAGTAGGGTCAAGATAACCCCCTCTATGCAGGACATCTGGTGGCTGTAGCTGAGGTCATTTGGGATCATCCTTAACCAGGTGGCCACATTGTGAATGGCTTCTTGTCAGAACAAGGTGTTATACCTTTCTGAGCCAGATGAACAAGTCTCCCTCTCGGGTTCAAGAAAAATGAAGGGAATGATGATCCATGCCTTTTCATTTATATCTTTTATAGACGGTCTGTCTTCTTCAACACCATCAGCTGCTGGGAGTTACCCAACTTCAGGTAATTCCTAGCTGTTCTTCGTGGATTAGCGGTGACTTGCTTTGGAAAAGTCACCCTGGGCAGTGGTTTAGGGTCCGAAGACCCAGGATCTTCCATCCTGACTTTGCTCACCCGCTGTGGGACTTTGAGCAAGTCTCAGAACCACACCTGTCTCAGTTTCCTCTTCTGCATGAAGATGAGGAAGGAGGCAATAGTTCTACCTGCTAAGTCTGCCCTGGGATTCCGTGGATGGCTCTATGTAGAGTGGCTCAGGCCATGCTTGATTAGAGCCAGGCCATTATTTCCCAACCTAACTCTTCCCAAGCCAGGATGCTGCTGGGAATTTGTTCTGTCCCTGGCATATTTGTTTACAGTAGAGACACAGGAAGCATCACTCTTTGGCTCTTTCGACTGACCCTGTGATTAACCCAGTAGATATCCATTTCAAATGAAGTCAGTGGCTTTCCCACAGTAGGGTCATTATCGGTGAAATACAATATGCTGAGAGGAGGTGGGACAGAGAAGATTTGCTTGCAGCCATCCAAGGAAGCCCAGAGTTGGTTACATTGAACAGCCAGTGGTCCCCAAAGGCTACACTCTATGAACCACAGTGCCCTGCCTCTCCAGAGCTTGTATCCATTGCCATCGCCCACAGAGAAAGGATATAGGGAAGGAATCTGACTTTGAGTCTGAAACTTGGTATAGAAATTCCACAGGGTGAAGGATCCATTAACAGCTGCCTGAGAGTTTGATCCTTACCACGACAGTTATCATTTTTCTCGTTTGCTTTTTCTCTGTCCACAGCATCTTCTCCAAAGCCAGCAGGGGCACCTCTATCAACAGGTAATCTTTTTTTTTTTTAATCTTCACCTGCCTTTCCCTTGTAGCGTTTGATTTCAGAGTCACTCCAGCATTGCTATCGGAGAAGGTGCCCCTGCTGGAAGCACGATCCATTTCCCCAGATTTTTGCAAGCCTTGGGCTGAAGGTACAAATGGCTGATGCTGGCAGACAGGCTGATGATACCTAGGTGCATCTAGAAAGCTATGGTGGGAAAGTGCACAGGAGGGAGAAGCTGTGAAATGCAAACAAGGCCGTGGGGCTGGTCGTGAAGACCAACACTGAGGAAGACCGGGATACCTTGATGACCCCAGATCTCCCCTGAGCCCTACCCAGGAACTCACTTGAGCTGTGTTCCCAATGCATCCCCTCGCTTCCTCCTCTTACTCCGCTGTCTTCTTTCACATGAGAGTCAGCCCTTAATGAAGCCCTTAGGTCTCCCAGAGCATCTTTACACATGGCATTGCCCTTGACGCTGGGAACAAAGCAGATGGGGCGATATAGCTGTTGTCACTGTATCAGTGTATACAGGGGCCCACAGAGAAGCTGGCACACATGCAAATACACTCAACAACTAGTCTGTGCATGATATCTTCTCTTGGAAAGGCCAGAAATCCCAGGAAGTGTCAAAAACTGGATAGAGAAAGGCACAGCTATGTGGTGACATGGACCCCTGGTCCAGCTGACCAGTGAGTCAACCCACTTCTTCAATCAGCCTTGACTGTAAACACACACACACACACACACACACACACACACACACACACACACA